GTCCGTCGGACACCGTTTCACCACAACTGATGCCATAGATGTCAGACTCTATCGAGCCGTCACTCATCGCGACAGTCAGTTGTGTATCGTTTCTATTGTCCGACTCTTCCTTAGGAAGAAGTTCCTCGCGAACTGTCGAACGGAGCTCTCAGACCTTCCCAAAGGCATATAGAGGCGACTGCAGCGCCTGTATGTCACCTCTTGTGCGAACTCAAGGCTTAACTCAGTGGGCAATACATGCAAACGGTTTATATACTTCTCATTATGACACACATTATTGGCTTACAGTTTGTAATCATTTCAATTCACTTCATTTGCATATCATTTCTAACTAATTGTCTCTTCCATAACACTCATGAGTACAACACATTTAACTCTTTAATATTATCTATAAATGAAATATAGTTTTCTGAGTAAAACTTATTAATGAAAGTCATGTCAAAACATGTGCCATAATTGCATCACATGTTTGCATTGAAAAGTGAACACATATTCACACATTGTTTCGTCTAATTGTGTTTAACGTCTCATTTAATGGACATTAGCTTTAAATTGAATGCATATTTGGATACAATTAACTGCACGTTAATGTAAGTTAAAACAGTTTATTTCAAGTAAATTAAGTACAAAGGCCTGCAATTGTAAAAATATCTAAATTAGCAAATAAATTATAAACAAAAGCATTAATTGATAACAAATTTGGCAAAGTTAATAACAAATTCATATACAAAACATAATAAAAATTAAAAAAACCTAAGCGTGTGTCCAATAAATAATGAGAAATGTGGTGATAATATGGTATACTAATACTTTCCATACGGATTCACAACCTACACCACCACTCACTTACAGAGGACTCAAATGAAAACTACTCAAATACCAACTTATCAAACTAAACTAACGTCAGGCCCAGGTGTTGGGATCCCAATCGGGTGAATTTGAGGCACCGTTTGGCGCACTTCTCGCCGCTGTAGAGACCGGTCTCCCATTGACGGACACAAAGGGCACAGTTGTTGAGACATAAGTACATCTTATTGTGTCCACTGCTCGTCACCAACTTGTTCTCCGACCCATTCCTCTTAGTCTCCCTCTCCTCCGATATCACACCACTTATGCCCAACACNCGCTGTAGAGACCGGTCTCCCATTGACGGACACAAAGGGCACAGTTGTTGAGACATAAGTACATCTTATTGTGTCCACTGCTCGTCACCAACTTGTTCTCCGACCCATTCCTCTTAGTCTCCCTCTCCTCCGATATCACACCACTTATGCCCAACACAAACAGCACCGCAATTGCCGCCCATATTATCTCCACTTTTAATACTTCATGAATTTTCACCATTTTCTTATATAACTAAAAATTATGTTTCAATTGTTTTATTCATGTTTTCAATCATTTAAACGATTGGTTTTAGGAAATTATTTTTACCTGATATTAGTCGCAAACAATTATCCGATTTATGAATTGATGGCATATATTTAATTTGAGAATTGCCAGATATTACTCAAAATATTGTATATTAAGCTAATTATGAGTTGAGATTAAGTGTATATAAGTGATGATTGTTCAGTGAATTAGAAGTTTAAAACTTTTGAATTTGTGTGAGAATTGAGTGAAAACTCATTGCTTTTATACTAATTTACAGATTTCGAGGTGGAGTGAAGTGGAAGTAATCCATAGTCACAAAGGGCACAGTTGTTGAGACATAAGTACATCTTATTGTGTCCACTGCTCGTCACCAACTTGTTCTCCGACCCATTCCTCTTAGTCTCCCTCTCCTCCGATATCACACCACTTATGCCCAACACGAACAGCACCGCTATTGCCGCCCATATTATCTCCACTTTTAATACTTCATCAATTTTCACCATTTTCTTATATAACTAGAAATTATGTTTCAATTGTTTTATTCATGTTTTCAATGATTTAAACGATTGGTTTTAGGAAATTATTTTTACCTGATATTAGTCGCAAACAATTATCCGATTTATCAATTGATGGCATATATTTAATTAGAGAATTGCCAGATATTACTCAAAATATTGTATATTAAGCTAATTATGAGTTGAGATTAAGTGTATAGAAGTGATGATTGTTCAGTGAATTAGAAGTTTAAAACTTTTGAATTTGTGTGAGAATTGAGTGAAAACTCATTGCTTTTATACTAATTTACAGATTTCGAGGTGGAGTGAAGTGGAAGTAATCCATAGTTTGATCACACATTCAGACAATGAATTGAGTGAAAGTAAGTCATCATTGAGGCCAAGGAGACAAACGATTGAGAGGATCCTTGTCCTTCCAATACAACACTTTTCCGGATCATTGCTATCATTGCTGTTAAGACTAACTCATAAGACAGTTATACTTCAATATAAAGTCATATTCTTCGGAATTTTTATTGAATCCTTCGATTGAATCGGAGGTTACGAGAGGTTATCGATATTTGAGACTTTTATTGAACTTTTCGCCAAAAGCTAAATACGATATAATACTCTAGTGATAATGTCGTCAATAATAATCCAATGCCATTGCGATCGACTCTTATTTTAGAAATGATATTCACTTCATTTGTCCGCAAATTCTGCACAATCACTACAATTCAATTGAAAACATCATTAAAAGCGAAATTAGTTCAGAAAATGTTGTCACAGAATAGCGAAGCACTCAATATATTCAAACAGATTTCGGTTATACCTGAACTCAAAATCCTCGAAACCATATTCACATCTAATGGATATGAACTGGTATTTAGTATTATATTTAAGATTTACAACAAAATTATAGTTTTATTTATTTTGCATATCATTAATCGCTATTATAGCGTATGGCCGGCGGTGCGGTTAGGGATATCATGTGTGGTATTCAACCAAATGATATTGACTTTGCCTCCAATGCAACACCGGATCAGATGATTAGAATCATGAGGTATTTGAGTGAAAATTCGTGAAATTATTGAAATGCATTTCAATGAATATAAATTATCATTTACTCATAGAGACAAAGACAATATACGTCTTATAACCACTCCTTCAGGTAATTACACATAAATCTGAACACTATATTTGAATTGAGGTGTAATTGAGTTGTTCTTGAAGGTGAACGACACGGCACTGTCACCGCGAGGATCAATGACAAGCATCAGTTTGAAATAACCACTTTACGTATTGATAAGTGCACTGATGGACGACATGCAGAGGTCGTGTTCGTCAATGACTGGAAAATAGGTTTATTTCTATGATTAATGTCAGACAGGTTAGGGTCTAATGACAAACTCACCGTTCATTTAGATGCCTCCCGACGCGATTTGACCATTAATTCAATGTTTTTGGATTTAAACGGAATTCTTTACGATTATTTTGACGGCGAGAATGATCTGAAGAATAAAAGGATTCGTTTTGTTGGCGACACTGCGTCCAGAATACGAGAGGATTATCTCAGAATTTTCCGTTATTTCCGATTTCACGCCCGATTTGGTTCCTCACAAACACATGATTTGCAAACTCTGTCCACAATTAAGTCCAATTGCGACGGATTGCAGATAATTAGTGGCGAAAGGATTTGGGCCGAAATGAAGAGAATTCTTGTCATCAAAAACTGCGAGAATGTAATCGATGTTATGTTTAATAACATTCAGATTGGAAAGCATTTAGGATTTAAAGTCAATCAAAGGAATGCAAATGAGACACAACTAAGCGGCGACTTTTCACGTGATTTATCGGAGTTTAGAAAAGTTCTCAACAATTTGATGAATGGTGTGAACACTGGGGTAATGAGTGGTTGGGAGGCATACACTTTGTTTGCGGCACTTATTCAAGACTCGGATGAACTGTTGGATGTGACCAAACGACTCAAACTTTCCAATTATGAGAAGGAATGCATTCTTTATATAATTAAAAATAGAGAAACCCTTTTGAATGAAGACATGAAAGCATTGCGATCACAGTTAGCGCTCACTCCTAAGCCAAATCAAAATAATTTAAGAAAATCTATTATTGAATGTATGAAATATTGCGGTCTATTCTCACATATCTCCGCAATATCCGAGTGGACAATACCTGAGTTCCCATTCACTGGACATTTAATAGCCGGAAGAGTGAAAAAGCGAACTTTGATTAAAGACATAATCAATGAATTGAAGACTTTTTGGGCCAAAACAGGGTTCGAGTCAACGGAGGAACAGTTGAAAGAAGAGTTGGAAAGGCTTTTACAAAGTGATCGATACAAAGAATAACTCATTATTTGATGATTTAATTGTAATTTTCTATTCAAATAAAACATTGATCTTTAGATATTTAAAGAAAACAATTATTTCCAATGCAAACGCGAGAGAAGGCAATCCAGACATTGGCCTTACCTAAAGGTTATGTACTTATATCCAGTTTCTTGAGCTGATTTTCACTAATGCTTTCATTTTACACATTTATGATTTATATTCAAATTAACATTTCCTTCTATAAGTAACTTTCTATAAGTACTAAAACTTTTACATCAAATATTCTATTGATTTGAAGGCATTTTCTATTTCAATGAACATTTTTTATCTAATCAAAGGTAAAACATTTATTGCAAATTAAGGAGATTTGTCATTAATTTGTTAATTGAAAGAGAAGGTAAGCGCAAGTTTAGCCTCAGGTTTGACACTTCAATATTGCTTTGAATTTATTTCCCAAAAAAGTAATTTATTTTATGAAAGGTATTTTTATTCGTATCATTTAGGAATTGAATTATAAATAAATTTAGTCCGAAGTAATTTTTTGAAAACCTTTATTTTGTGCGGAAATAATAACTACAAAACTATTTTGAGTATAATATCTTCTTATTTATGAATTACTATATTATAAATTCGATATAAATAAACAATTGCTTTAAAATGACTTAACACTTATCAACAGTTTATTACAAATATAATTATTCTATAGTGACTCTAAAACTACATAATAATAATTATCATTATATTATTTCTTATTGAACACAAGTAGAACTTATTCCAATACTCTTAACAATTATTTATTTATACTTAAAATTTCTTTCACAAAAAAGAAATGGATTTTGAATATCAGTACCAGAGCTATAGGTCAGAGATATGGACAGTAATTATGTTATTCTCTCAAGTCTTTTATAAACTAAATTCTTGTAACAAAAAAGCTCTGAAACTTGAATTCAAAAATTCTCAAATAATTGAATTATTTGTGAGCTAAAGAGGACTCACTAACAGTATATCCAACTGAGCACTTGAATCAAACCACAAACCAGATAAACTTTACCAAACTAACACTTACTTTAATAGACTTATTCTTGTGAAACATTCATTCAATTGTTTGTAACTGTATTCTGAGTCTATACTAATGTATAACATAAATGTTTTATCGTATAATCGGTGATAATATGAGTGTGAAGTCATTTGAATGACTGAGTGGTCTTCAGGTGCGGATGTGCTGAGAGGTGAGCCCCTCTATGGGCTCAGATGGTCCAAACGTGCACTTTCTCGACCACAACACACCAAGAAGTGGCCCTTTCGTTATAGTATGAGTGGACGACATGAAGATTCTGAATGTTTTGTTCAATGAGTTGTTCTAATTCTCCGCTCCGAAAGACGTGGAAATATCTGTGAAGAGTAGTGGGAGGGGAGGGCGTCGACGACTGACACTCACTTGAGCTCTTGTCTTCAGACTTTGTCGTCGATTTTGTTACTTCCGTAACATCGGAGGCACTTGTGTTATCTTCGGAGGTCTGTTCGCCCACCAAATCCTCATAACAGGCGTCGTCTGTGGAAGAGCTCAAGAAGTCGGTCTCGAAATCGGCAAAAGTGTCGGTATTATTGATGGCTTCGGTAACACTCTGTCGAGTGCTTCGATTGGCAGGAATTATAGTTACAAAAGACTCTTCGCTATCAATACTGATCTGTTGGTAATTGTGTGCGATTTGGTTCACACGAGTGGACCCTATGTTAGGACTGGCAGAGAAGCGTCGGGGCTGTTCTGACTGAGGCTTTGGTACTTCCGGCTGATAATCAGCGCTAAAACTTCTTTGTCTTAACAACTTCTTCGGAAATTTATTATTGCTTTGCATTTGTGGCACCGATTCGTTCCCATGAACGCAATCATCCATTTCTTCCCTTTCTAATAGACTTTCATTTTCATCAGATTTGTTGTCTTTTTCTATAATTTCTTCAATTTCTTCAATTTCTTTCTCTTTTGGACTCTTGTTCTGTGAATTCAATGGTTGTGTCAATTGATTGCTCTTTTCTAATGACTCACATTTGGATTGCATTTTCAGTGGCGAGTCCTTTGACTCGTGTGAATGAATGTCTTGATTGGTGTCAATGAAAGTGATTGGATGTAAGTCTAGAAGTTTTGGTTTACTTTTTGTCTTTCGGTTAGAAGGAGCGGACAAATCATTAGATTGTGTTTCATTTAAAGTGTGAAGTTCTGGCATCGAGTAATAGGCAATAAGTTGAGCGCCGGTAGTGTCGAGACTGGCCTGTCTTGACGAGAGTGAGTCCGATGAAAATGATTTTTGTAATATTTTGATCACTCCCTTATTGTTCTGAACAATTGGTTTGCAATTGTTTGTCATTTCCTGAGAAGTGGTGTCAACCTCTTGTGTTTCATTGATTATGTTTTTATTAATCCGATTAATGATATTAAGAGTAGTCTTGGGTTTTTCAGTTCGTCTGAAACTCAGGGGTAAACTAAATCTGTGGGGAAATCCGTTTCTATTATTTGATTCGTTGTTTATTGAGTTCTTTGATTTGAACTGAAACTGAAATGAAATGATGTGTTCTTTGATTATCGATAAAAGTGATGAACTGTTCAAAAGGTTTGAATGACTTCTATTGCTATCGTTTACAGAATTTATATCACAATCCACGGGAACGGGACTATCGATGACTGCACTCAACGAGTCGTCGTCTTCAATGTCTTCAAGATTTCTCAATTCGATGGGAAAGTCTTCTTTTGAAAGAGAAGATCCGTTGGAAGTCCTCGACTTATTACCACTCGTGCGTCTCGACTGCAAACTCCCGAAACTTCCCGTAAAACTGAACTTTCGGAGAGCTTTTCGTACAAAACTATAACAACTGCCGAACTCCGAGTTTGGAGTATTGCACGACTCATACACTGTATTCCCATAATTACTGTTACTGTAACCACTGCTACTCGACTCACTGTCCGTTTCACTACTATTTATATTTGTGTTCACTTTGTTTGGATAGTCTTCTAATTTTATTAACACGTCTTGTGATTGAAGTTCACGACCAACAGCCGGTCCACTCGTCACTAATATTTAATAGGAAATTGTATTATAGTATAATATAGTATAGTTAGTATAGTTAGTATAGTATAGTATAATATAGTATAGTATAGTATAGTTTTATATTATAGTATAATATCAAAATTCTAATAATATTCAGCAAAATTAACTTAAATAAACTTTCAAATGCCAAAATTAATTGAAAGACTAGTGATAATTAGTATTGTAATTATTTAAATACGATAATTAACATAAATCTCTTGCTAACCTGTCAACAGGATTTTACCCCCAATTTTGAGAATTCTTGTGATTTCTCGGAGAGCTTTAACCCTTCGCTCAACAGTCGAGACGTGATGTAAAACACCGGAACACAAGACACCGTCGAAAAAGTCGTCCCGAAATGGCAAATACATGACATCTCCGGTTATTAGCTGTTTATCTCCGGTTTCGTACAAAACTATAACAACTGCCGAACTCCGAGTTTGGAGTATTGCACGACTCATACACTGTATTCCCATAATTACTGTTACTGTAACCACTGCTACTCGACTCACTGTCCGTTTCACTACTATTGATATTTGTGTTCACTTTGTTTGGATAGTCCTCTAATTTTATTAACACGTCTTGTGATTGAAGTTCACGACCAACAGCCGGTCCACTCGTCACTAATATTTAATAGGAAATTGTATTATAGTATAATATAGTATAGTATAGTATAGTTTTATATTCTAGTATAATATTATTCAAATTCTAATAATATTCAGCAAAATTAACTTAAATAAACTTTCAAATGCCAAAATTCATTGAAAGACTAGTGATAATTAGTATTGTATTTAAATACGATAATTAACATAAAGCTCTTGCTAATCAATATTTACCTGTCAACAGGATTTTACCCCCAATTTTGAGAATTCTTGTGATTTCTCGATCTCGAAATTGGGAAGCGAGTTGTCAGCTCTGCACTACATTTTGTGGCCTTGTGTTCTGTGGCAGCTTTTTCAGCAGGGCTTTACCGTTTATGTACTGTAGAGGCCAATAATCGACAAATAGAGGCCCGTAAATGTTTTTACATTTGATGAGATCATTGCAAAACCATTCACAACACCTCTCGAGTCCAATCACTACTATATCTGACTTCAAGTTTAGATATTTTCCTATAGAGTAGAGAATATTGCATAAGAATTGAAAGAATTATAGAGAATATTGCATAAGAATTGAAACAATGATAGAGGTATTGCTTACCATCACCACAACCGACATCGAGAACACAATTTCCAATTTCAAACTCTTCGAAAAGGAATTCTTTGACATGAGATCTGACGGGAGAGCACAGGGATGTGTTGATGGCAATGATGGAGTAGACGTCGTGAACGTACGCCTGTTCTAAGGCCAGTGATCGCGAGGAGCTATTGATATATTTGCTATATTTGCACTCTTTGGTCATTTTAGTAATTATTTATACGATCGGTTCAACACGGAATCGTCACTTCAAATCAGGCAAATGCACAGAAATGTCTTTTACAAATGTTAACAATCAGAATTTCAAACATATTGTGAGCTATTATTTATTTAACAATACTTAGAAAACAATATTTTCACCAATGTTGCCAGAATATTAACAAAATCTTAAACAATTTCTCAAATAAATATTTTACATTAAATTAATATGGTTAAAAATTATGAAATATCGTCTAATGTATATAAAAATACTAAAAAATGTCAAAATCTCAAATAAACTCTGAATTGTAAGTCAAAACACTTTGTTATTGATAGCAACCAAACAGAGAATTATGTAAACAAACCGACATTACATTTATTGATCCGATTCTCTACAGAATTTTATACAGAATATGTCTGTATTTGTATATACGTTAGAGTTTACTATACGGTAGAAATATTGTAAACAGCAACATTTTATTTATTTGGATGGTAGAAATGTTACATTTACAAATTTAACTTAAATTTCAAATCAATTATAAATGGAATAAATATTTTTACAGAATTTATATTTAAATTCAAAAAGAGCTTAATTATATAAAAGTTAACAGAATAGTATATTATATTTTTATTTATATATTTTTAACACAAATTAATTACATTTAAAGTATTAATTTCATTATTAATAAGTAAATCGTTTAATTAATATTGCATATTTTACATATGAAATATTTTGCAATAAATAATTCAACGATGTATTGTAAATATAATTGTTGTAATGTATACATTGATATAAATTCTTTGCAATTCTTGATTTGTATAGTTTTCGTTTGTATTATCTTATCAGTACTAAATTACACTTCAAATCTCTGCAACTGATTATACATTAATTAAATATAACTTAATTTGGCATAACTTCAAATTATAGTGTTAATCGATGTAGTTGTATAATCATAAGCATTAGGAATAGTATTTTCATTTTTAATTCATTGCACAATATTTTGAAGATTTCTTTAATGTTATGTTTGGTCGCAAAGCAACTAAATTTCGTAACATTTATGCAATCAATCGATTAATTTCTTTATAAGCGATGTCATTTTGTTTATTATTATTATTGTCAGTAAAGTAAAGGAGAAGTGATATTAAGCATAAGTAATGGTGAGAGTGGCTGTCATTGGTGTCGGGACTCTAGGGGTCAAAATTGCAGGTATTTTACAAACCATTTGATCTAGCTAACCAGTAAGCACATCCTGTAGAAACGTATAAATAGTGTAGTTCATTCATACCTTATTATAATCTAATAGTTTAATAACCATTCTTAACTTAAAATATTAATATTTAAATATGACTAGAATTATTATTATACCATAGCATATACTAGAATTATACCAGAGTATTTATGAATGTTGATGATTAGGTTCATTAGCCTATGGGGGACATGAGGTGAGAGTTCAGGACCAGAACACCGTTACTCTCAATAAAGTGTCGCTAATTATAAACGAAGACAAAAGAATCCTGAAAGAGGACGGACTCATAACAAACACGAATTTTCTTGTATTTTCATTAATATTTCATTAATTTTACAACATATATAGTATGCAATTAACTATTTATGTCAATATGAAGGGAGAGGTGTATTGCTTCACCAAATTAGAGGACGCCGTCCGGGAAGCGGAGTTCATCTTTGAATGCGTTACTGAAGACATTGTCGCCAAACAGAATATATTCAAACGTATTATTCATACGACAATTCATATTCACTTAATTTTTAATGATTTTATTTGTTTTATACACAGAAATATCGATGTGTTGCTCTGATAATGCAATTATAGCCACGAGTTCCATGCGATTATCCATCGATCAGATCATCGAAAATATAAACTGCAAAGATGTTTGTCATTTACTAATGAGTCCTTAAATCACAATTTGATGTTTGTTTCACGCCTTACAGCGTTGTTTAGGCGTTCGCTTCTTATATCCGGTCTATTTTGTACCCGAAGTTGAACTCTTGCCCTCAAGAACTTATACATCACTTCAGACATTAGAAAGAGGTTTGATTTGAGATTCATATACCACAGATGAATTATTTAATGCATTAAATTGTAATTATATTCTAATTTAATTCAATCAAAAGTTCGACAATTTCTGGAGAAAATGGGAAGAATTGCTTTCTTTAGGTCTGGAAACGAACCGATAGTTCTGAACGAACAGCAGAGAGAGGCCAGAAAATCAGGTATTTTTTCATTTTGTTCATTAATTCATTCATTTTTATTGTACTTCACTTATATTTGTTAGCATTCGTACGACAATTATATGAGAATAAAGGCATAAATCATAGATTCGCGCAAACAGTGCCAGACTTGGGTGCAATCAATTCAGGAAAGACTGAACCTGAAAGCGAATCCAGTGGTGATCAACAATCAATTATAATACGGGATAAAGAATGTGTTATTTGTATGGATCACCAAAGAGGTAATTTATAACTAATTTTATATACACTTAGAAAATGTAAAGTATACTACAATTGTCAATTTGTGGACAGACTGTGTGTTGCATCCGTGCCATCACTTATGTGTATGCATTCAATGCGGACGTCTTCTGCTGAAGAGAT